TTGTAGACGATGTAACCGAACAAATGTCCACCCACTAAATCTCCAGCCTTTTATAACAACGAAACGATTGGCATATCAGCATTGTTCATACAAACAGTTCTAAAATTTCATAAATAATTTTAATTTCTACTGATAATTTTTTTTTTTTTTTTTTTTGAAATTATCTCATTTTTTTTGTTTGGGGTAATTTTGTCACCGGGCCATTGAATAACAAGGCTATCCAGTATTCAACTTGTAAACAACCAATCGTCTACAAGTTATAGTCACAGAATTATTTATAACGTAAAGTTGTCAGTCCACTCAAATACATGTTTATACGATCATTGATACTTGATTAAATATATCTAACTGATGAACATAAAATTTAACAGAGAACTTTGATAAACTGGTAGATACTCTTATTTTGAACGGGAATGGTAATATTACCTTAGTTGTATTGTCATTGTGTAATGGAGACAGAGAAGGAACGAATTGTTTAATACGATAAATCGAGTAGCGCAATCTTTCTGTCTACATAGCACAGGAGTGATTGATTATCTTTCTCTCTTATTTTTGATTAGTTTCTATAGTTTCAATATACTCTATCATCTATTTGCAACGGGACATTGATGAGACGAATAAACTCAATCTAGTGATGGTTTGTATAAAGGTAGAATGCTTGTTAATGTCATTTCTTAGGCGATACTATCGCTACTATACGCGATAACCGGATATCTGATTAACCAAACTTTGTATACATTCGGTTAAAAGGGTCGAAACAAGTCGTAAAACATATATGACTATACCTGTTCGTATCACGAAACACGATGACGATAAATAGAAATAAAATGATATCCGTGTCCTTGATTGAACGTACAAATCGTGCCTCATTCCAATACGATCACGCATGAAGCCTCTTTTATGGCAACTAAGCACTACTTGAGATATCTCATATTGGTATCACACACAGTAAAAATGCCGACAAACCATGCAGTATTCAATCTATTGTCTGATTTCATACAACACAACGGGTGTTATTTCATCATTAATATTTGCTAATTTGATTTCTGCTACAAGATTGTTGCATCTTGATATAAAATCAATCACATTTTTATTGATGATTGACAGTATCAATAAGTAAACTGAACAAGTCTGTTGCGTGAATCGTTACTTTTGATTAAACCTTATTAATTACAGGATCAAAATATGCAACCGTTGGAACAGCTAGTATTGAGAAGATTTCAATAGATACTATGGAACCTTTATATTTTAACGTAGTTGTAGAAATCGATGTTTACTTAGCCTCTAATTGTAGATGCTTGTCTCTCCTTTTGAGATTTCACATACGTGTAAGCTTTAAAAGAAAGACATGCTGACGTACGTGTTTTAAATATATCAAGTTACTAGCTACAAAGGCAGAACTGCCCTTTTATCTCATATTTGGTTATAGCTAACGATATCACATTCCTTATATATCCTGTGCAATATTTCGTGCTGACAAAATATGATATTTAACTTGCTAGCAGTAATGAAATAAAATCAGATTGATTTCGTAGCTACTATAAATCAGTGTTTGATGTGAATGTGATTTATTTGATTTGGAGATATCTGGCTTGGGATGTTCTGTTCAGTGAAACAGCTTTGTGGTCAAAACGATAACAGTAACTGCTACAATTGTTTTGGGTAATTCATTATTAGCAAATGCATCTACGTCAACAATAATTTTGTTATTTCGCTAAAACTTTCTTGTATGTCAAAACCATTTTCCTTCATACTCTACTGAGGTCAAACAAGTCATTCCAAGAAGTTGGGTATTTCAAGATGAAACAATACAGACATATGTTTATGAGAATAAAACTATAGACAATTGTTTTGCATTTAATGGTAATCAATTTTTTTTTTGTTTTTGTTTTTTTTGGTTTTTTTTTTTTTACAGTTTACAAATATCTCTCTTTCTATTCGGCTAATAGGACGAATATGAGTCTTTATATTTAACCTGAGAATTACAATCTAATTAGGCGAAACTTTGACCTCTCAACTCGTGAATAATTTTATCGACGTTACAATACTTGAGTAAGCCGACTTGTATTTTACGGATTCAGGTGGCATTGGTGCGTATGTTAACATCATAGTGTGCCTAAATACCGCGATCACTTCCGCTCTCTGTACCCATGTAACCATCCTCGATACTCCAGGGGATACGGTCACTTCCGCTCTCTGTACCCATGGAACCATCCTCGATACTCCAGGGGATACGGTCACTTCCGCTCTCTGTACCCATGGAACTATCCTCGATACTCCACGAGATACGGTCACTTCCGCTCTCTGTACCCATGGAACCATCCTCGATAATCCAGGGGATACGGTCACTTCCGCTCTCTGTGTCCATGGAACCATCCTCGGTGCTCCAGGGGATACGGTCACTTCCGCTCTCTGTACCCATGGAACCATCCTCGATACTCCAGCGGATACGGTCACTTCCGCTCTCTGTACCCATGGAACCATCCTCGATACTCCAGGGGATACGATCACTTTCGCTCTCTGTACCCATGGAACCATCCTCGATACTCCAGGGGATACGATCACTTCGCTCTCTGTGCCCATGGAACCATCCTCGATACTCCAGGGGATACTATCACTTCCACTTTTTGCAACCTTGAACATGTCCTCGATACTCCAGGGGATACGATCACTTCCGGAACATGGCATGGCAAAACCAAAGAGACCATGTGTGCCACCTTGTGGACAAGACAAAAAGACTAGTTTGATCCTCTGATGTAAGTTAAATAAATCTTAATGTTGCATAACGGTGCTCCTTTGTAATCTTCAACAGGATCAGCCTGTAATTGGTCAGTTTTTGCCCTGAAACCAATCAAATAACTTGCTTGTGCCTTCAGTTGTGCCATGACATGTTCAAGGGGTGTAGCGAACGAAATTAATCGCAATCCCTAGAGTATCGAGAATGAGTTATATCATGAGAAGTTACATGAACACTCCCTGGTAGTTTAGTTTTATCCAATGGGAAGTTACATGAACACTCCCTGGTAGTTTAGTTTTATCCAATGGGAAGTTACATGAACACTCCCTGGTAGTTTAGTTTTATCCAATGGGAAGTTACATGAACACTCCCTGGTAGTTTAGTTTCCTTATCTAATGGGAAGTTACATGAACAATCCCTGGTAGTTTAGTTTCCTTATCTAATGGGAAGTTACATGAACACTCCCTGGTAGTTTAGTTTCTTTATCTAATGGAAAGCTACATCAATACTTCTTGGCAGTATCATTGCTTTGACGTCACACAGAGACACTGCAGAGAGTCATAAGGTGTTGACGTCACACAGAAACACTGCAGAACGTCATCTAGTCTTGACGTCACACCGAGGAATGAGGAATAGGACAGAGTCAGCAATTATTCAAGCTACACAGACATTTTTGGACAGTCAGCAGTTGTTCACCTCATACAGATCTACTGGAATGTCAGCAGTTGTTCACGTCACATATATGTAATTGACGGCCATCAGTTGTTTACGTCACACTTAGTGTACACAAGATTATAGTGCAGCCGAAAAAGTTGGTCGATTCCATACCATCTTGTACACGACGTACGTTAGTGCTAGTACGCTCAACACTGGTCATTTGTTTGATGAAGGTGACCGTGAAATCACCGAAACGTCACAGTAATCTTCTACTGGTTGTGTTATAAGAACTTCTATTCCAATACAAATTTTGCCACAACTGATTTCATACCAACAAAAGAAATATTTATACATCTGTCAAAACTCTTTAAGTTTCATTTTCTTTTCGCAATGTAGATTTCTCTCCTCTTATCAATATTGATTGTGTTATTTGTTTCGCATGAGAATATTGCGTTCTTTTCCCATGACGTTACTCTCACAAACAAATGACGTAAACAATACCTGCTAACAAGAGCAGGTAACTCTGCACGACAAAATAATACTTGTGTTGTTAAAAATTACATAAATGTCGCTGGATGATAAAGTTACCGGAGTATTACATATAAATGGATTCTAGAAGTATGACTTATTTTCGATAATAAATAATTAATAGAGTTGTCGGGTGGCCGTCCGGGATTCGATTTCCGGAACAGACGTGAAAAGGTATTGGGTCACCTGCCCGACCACGTGGGTTTTCCCCGGTTACTCCGGTTTCTCCCTATAATAAGACCCCTCCCGCGCTTACATCCGGGCCAACAAGAGTGATTAGTATAAGTTGAAATAACTTGTTTCGCAATTGTTGTAGAATAAATGAAATTCATTATCAATAAATAATCAAAATAATACAATGATTTTAGAAGATATTACTAAAGGAGGGGTCAACATTTGGCCCCACACAGATTTCTATTATTTTTCCGCCATGTGTAGATACATCAAAACAATTAGTCATTACAACTACTTATAGTAATACTGGACCTCCTTGTATAACACAGGTTGAGTGAAAATGGTACCCTAACATAATGACAAATAATTTCTACATGGGAATTTTAAATGAAATTATTTATATACCAGCCTAAAGTTCATAAAATGTCCGTTATTTTGATACCACATATGTTATATTGGCATAAAAAATGTAAGCATATTGATAACTTTGATTTAAAAAAATGCAAAATTTTCACGAAACGAAGAATATATCAAAGTGTGTTAAGTTCATTATTTACAGTTGAATCTTAGTCTATATTTCATGGTTGCAAAACCAGGTTGAAAAGTTTATCTTAAGGAGCCCGAGCTCAAATAAGACATGTATATTTACCCTAGTATAACTGGCTGCACCAGTTGCTGACTGCTGAGATCATTAGCATAACAGAAGAACGCCTATTATGTGGAAAGTGCTCCAAGCGGTACCTCAAGCAAAGGCCATTGCAGTCTGAATTGTATGAATCTTCTGGTATGAGCACTCCAGATGACCTGGCGATGCAGATGATGCTTACACTGACTTCATGTCATCCAACCAACTACCACTAATCTCTGTTGAGAAATTATTTTGTGGTGGCGATTCATATAAAAGATGTGTCATATGCAGAAAAGAGGGCACTATACCCCAGCGTGCCAGGACAAACTTGATATTTTTTTCCATTTTCCTTGGTGTCCCCCTGATGCTCGTGTTTATAATTACCATGTAATTGGTGACTTTCTGAATCCTTCTTTGCAAACAAGGGAACCGTTAGCTCTTCATCTTCAAGAAAGAGCTAATCAGGTTATCAATGACCTTCTTGAACTTAGCAATTTCCTTCCTGATGGTACTCCAACCAACTCAGGCATAGTTGTAGACCATCTCAGAAATGAAGAATTCAAAGCATGGACTGGTTACACACTTGAACAAATGCAGCAAATCCATAGCATTTGCTCCCCACACATCAATAGAGGATCATGTTCCTCTACATTCTATGTTTTGTTTCTTTTCTGGGTTAAACTGAAGATCAATATTTCATGGTCTCAACTTGGTGTCTTGTGTGGTCTGACAAACCGCCAGTTTGTGTCTCACACATTTCACAGTGTCTTAAAAGTCTTGTGCCAGACCATTGTGCCCCGTTTCCTTGGTCCAAGACACATTACCCGAGAGGATGCTAAGTGCCACAACACTGGCTTTACAAGATTTTTTTTACGGGGACAAAGTAACTGTAATCCTTGATGGTGCCTATATTTATGTCAAAAGAAGTGCTGATCACCCCCTTCAAATATCCTCATACTGTGGGCAAAAGAAGTGCAACTATGTTAAATTCATGAACATTGTCTTTCCAGATGGTTATGTACTAGACACTATTGGGCCTTTTTATGGCAATGAAAATGATGCAAATATCTTGACAGCCCGACCTTTTGGCTCAGTGAAGATTACAATGTGATTGTTGACCGGGGGTTTAGGGATGTGTTGGTGCTGCTGCGAGGTTCAAGGTTTTCTGTGTATATGCCTTCCTATCTTCTGTCAGGTCAGACACAGCATAATGCACTTACTGCCAACGAGGATCGCCAGTCAAGATGGGTTGTGGAGAGCTACCATGGTCGAATGAAACTCAGCTCAAACTACGTCCTTAGTGTCATAGAAGAACTGGTTAAAGTAGCTACTGCTTCCTTGAATGCTGTAGGTGGACCAATTTATGTGTCCACACCAGAGAGGGACTTGAGGGATCGTCGCCCTGCTGAACGAATGCAATCACGTTTGGCTCTGCCACACACCTTGACCTCAAGTGTTGCAGATGAACCTGACCTGTCTAGGCGCAACAAGGCCAACTGGGTGAAACTTGATGCCTGTTCAATAGAGTTTATGGATATGGAATATTTAGAAACAGTAACCTGCGGATCATACCAGTTGAAAGTAGCACCCAGTGATATTGCTGACCATCTGACTCCTGCTGGAGACTTTGAAGTTTGGTTCTATCAGCATGTTGAAAATCTTCTCCGAGGCCAAATCCATTCAAGGCACAAATCGATGCCAAAAAACAATGTTTGGATTGCATTTGACAGAAATGATCAAGATAACCCTGTCAAAGATTACTGCTGTGTCTGTCCAGCGGGCAAGCGAACCGTTGGAATGTGTGCACACGTTGCGTGCATTTTGTATTTCTTGGGTTATGTTCAGTCAAGATCAAACTAACCCAGTCTATGCAACACTCAAGTTCGAACAAGCAATCACTTGAGCAGTTCTGCTACACTAAAACGCAATGTAATGTGCTGCAAACTGCAACTGTTCTATCTCTTATTAGCTTCTCAAAGTGATACAAATTATGGATCGGAACTGACAAAGGCAAAACCCGTCACTTATACTGTACATAATCTATCTAATAAAGTCACTTTTTTACCTTCATCAAAAGATTTGTATAAAGCTGCTGACTAAATCTTCAAATTGTGAAACTTGCACAAAAATGTCTTTATTTTAACAACTTTCATTTGTGTGACCTTGAACAGTGGTCAAGTTCAGCAATGTTAACCAAACTGATACAAATTGACATGAACAACCACCTTGTCAAATAGAAAAATCTACAGACTTTTGGTTATTAAGCTGTCACTATTTAACGAAAATGAAAAAAATCAGTGTTTCTTTGGTTTTTAAGCAAATGTGTAAAAGGACAAATTTACCGGTTTTCATTTTTTCCTAGAATATTCCTTTTGAAAGATATCATCCGGGCCAACTTTCAAGCAAGTAAGAAAATAGACTAGTTTCGGAAGTATGAAAATGAAGTGTCCAAAACGGTACTTTTCTCAAAAGTAATGGCTTTTTAAAATGAATTTTGGCTGCAGTTTCAACATAAAAGGAACGTTTCTTCTGAAATAGTGTGATATGTAGTAGCAAAATGTTGGTAGGTATAATGTGTACACATTAATGACATAATTTTATTGGAATTGCCTCATAATAATGCACTAGAAGGAATTACATAACAGCTGCTTTAACACCCACCAAGTTGTTAGTCAAGGAGCTCCCATTTTATAAGAAATCAATTCCAAGGCTAACTTTTCCGTATTTAAGCTTCTGGTACCCATTTCGGTTTATGGTAATCATATTTTAAAATTCCAAGTAGGGCCTATACTAATGTTAAATTCCCATATATGTTGACCCCACTTTTTACCGATAGAACATGTATTTGTGTTTGGCATGACAAACCATGGTGTATCGTGTACCTAATATAGCCGATATGTAAGTTATAAAGAACTATCAAATGAAATTAAAAAAGTTCAGGGGTCAATTGGTTTTATACTTAATAACACATAATGCCACTGATGCAACATTAACCGAGATAAAAACAAAAATAACCACTGTACGACATACAAGTTATGACATAACGATAGACGACATACACAATATTTATGTACTACAAAATGTCAGACAACCCCTGTTATAACTAATTTCTGTGTGTCAGATACTCTTGCTGGCATAGTAAGTGTAATTACTGGCAAATATGCTGTAGGTAATTAGGCCACAAAGGATTTTTTCCTGTTTTATGGTTGTAATAATTTGCTACACAGTAAGACATCATTTCGTAAACATAATTTTCGTTTGAGCTGGCTCTGTGTACTGGGAACATGATCTATCCGGATATATGGGTTTGCTATGGCTGTAATTTTCTTTTGAATCTGCCTTCACCACCTGGAGGTGCTGTAATAAAAACATTTTATGATTATTACATACGCAGAACGTTCATAATGTTCCCAAACTGAATTAGTACTTTACTATTTGCCGTACAGTTCTCCAGATGGACCATGAACAATGGGCGTAACGGTTGCTAAGTACATCGAGATCCAAGTTCATTTCCATTGGTCACAAAAAACAAAGGAAATAACAACGAAAAAAACATATATCTAATTTGCTGTTACGGTGTTATATACAATGATTGTTCTCGCCGTCTTTATACATTTATCGCATATTTAAACAATAAACGGTTACCAGATGGGGTATCAAGCTGATATGAAGTCAATCCGGGTCAATGATAAATATAATGGCGCCAGTCAGTGCCATTTTCACAGCTCTATTAAATGATATCAATTTGAATCTTCCGATTTTTAGTTCAAATTTTAGAGGGGGAAAAATGCCATGTTTCCATTATACTGGAAAAAGACAATGGGAAGTGATATGTGATGAATTTTATCGATTAAACAACCAGTAGTTATTCACGATTGTATTGGAATTAATTGATTTTCGTGTATTATTTAAGTGAAAAGATCTTTCCTTGAAACCTGTAATATGCAGGACATATTTCCAATCAATAATATCCTTTAGTAACTATAAATATCTGATATTGATAGAAATGTCTATCTACATGTTTAATATACATTGAAATACACAGTAAGTTCGTATTTTGCATTTAGTGCCATAACGACATATTTTGGTACAGCTATCCATGTATGCTAGGTCTTACTAAGTTGTGGATGGGTATCTGTTCTAACAGCATCACAAATTAAACAAACTCGGAAAAAAAAAGACAGAAAGATGCAGTTCTCATAGAATCTGTCGGTAGTTATTGCTATCGATTACAATTCCTTTCTGCTATGTTCTCTCCTTACCTTATGCATCAATTTGGATTTTTCACTAATTAGTGTAGGCTCCGTGTAGTTGACGAAGACGAAGAGCAGTTTGAACAGGTTTCACGTCAACTTGATATGACTGTTCTTGGAAATCATATACATCGTAACGATAAAGTGCCTACGCTGTTTGTGAAAACCTCTTACAAAAATATCTTTTTTATTCTTAAACTGTCATATACATGTCACAGGGGTTGTTTTTAATTGGTTTGTACCAAAAGCAATATGTTTTCTGACTAAGCATCTCGCCACATCCATGAACTATTGGATACAACAATTAAGTATGTATAACGGAACATGTGTACTGCTCCACAGCAGTATCTTCACGTTGAAGCAGTACTTGCTTTTCATTATCAACAGAATCGTGCTACACAACCATTACTTAAATAAGTGTATCTTATTTCCTCATTTAACTGGGGTCGACGAAAAACATGAAGAAACTAGCAATGTTACCTAATTGAAGAAACTTTAGTTTTTCATTTGAAAGCTGAGGCTATCGGGAAATCAACACTCTCAAAGAGCACTCTAAAATACAATTATGATCGTGAGCGCTATGATAATATTCCATTTGGAAAACTGTGCTCGTCTTAGTAAAAACGAGAAATCGTAAAATTTGCTCTAGTATTTTGTGTGAGTTACATCTATCGGGAACACCATTGATATAATAATCAAAAGCTTTCCACACGAAAAAAAAAAAAAAAATGATAATAAAACAAAGCATAAACGTGCACTCCGTGAAAATGATTTTCAGCCATCTTGAATTTTTTAATGCAGTTTGATCTGCATATATATCATGTTGAAATTCCATGCCAGCTCGTCATATGCATACCAATATACATTTACACAAATTTCAAATAGTTTAAAACATTGGGATATTACTTTATCATGTTTTTGTCAAACAATTATGTAATCTTAAACACTATTACAACTGCTTATGTTATTGTTTACATTAATTGTGCTCTTTACTTTTAACTGTCCACTTTCACTTTAATTCAAGTTAAAAAAAACAATCTCATTCTCATACCAGATTTCTATTGTACAAATGAATGTCTGTTTCCGTCTCACCCTCACTTTGGCAGATGAACAAAGTCTGTAATTATTGTACAATAGACGGATATGCTTATCTTGACTTAGATAGATAGATAGATATAATTATGATTCATTTACTGCCGATCCTCGAAAAAGACACTTAACAGTAACGTAACATTACTGCACCTCAAAATGTGATTAAACAGTTCGGTTTAACTGAAAATCCCGGAAAAGCTCCGAATATCAGGATTTCTCTAATCCTATGCAGATATACCGACAAACGGATATCTATTATAACACATTTTAGGAGAGACGCTTTTCACAAACTTTCAGTGTGCCATTCGGTCTTAAGTGTTTCGGTATTAACATTGCAGGCGTTACTTTCACGTACTAAGTATATCTAAATGACAATTAAGCAGATAATTATAAGACATACTTGTACTTTTCACCGACAACCGCTCCTTTTGTCATTTTGCCTTAAGTTAATTGTTTTGTGTTTCAATTATGGTTTTGTTTACGGTATAACGTGTATGCTCTCAAACAAAGCTTGGTAATCAAGGTCACGTGAAAAAAAAAGAAATTGAGACTTGGTGAACCCGAAGGTATTTAGTCTCAGAGCATTTGAGTAACCCCTGATACAACGTGGTTCATTGGACTTGACACTTCTGTGTCGTTCTCTTTGTCAAATAAATCTCGAATGACATATTAACCCGGATAATGCTTTCCACCAATCATCGTGTTTATGCATTTCTCATGTCATCTGTCAGTTTTAATCTGCTTAATCTGACTTTCTCCCTTTAAATATTATTTTATAGTCTCCCAGAAATCCTGGTGCAGTGCTATATGACAAAACGAGTTTGTATTAGAGTATTTATCGCAAGGGAGATAATGAAGACGCTCTCTTAAACTTGGAATACAGAATTACAAAAAATGTTTGCTTAAAATCTCTAACGCATATGATCTTATTGACTATATAGAAGTGCATTTTGGAAATATCCTGTCAAATTTTCTGATCATGAATTCTTTTCTTAAGTAAAAGGATGCATGTTTATCTGACGTCATTGAAATGGTTCTCTTGCCTGGTACTGGAAAGCCCCAAGCGATTCCTGTGTAACATTATATGGCTGTCACGGGGTGTTAGGAATTCGATGCATATCTGCAAGTTACAGAAAAGGATATTTATATCGCTAATCATAATAAACCAACTTGTACAATTAGTAATTACCACAGTTGATCGTGACATTGCACAGTAACTTACCACGCATTAACAGAGTATTTCTTTATTCAGTTGCGTTTCATATAGAAATTTTACTGATATAAATATAAATTAAGCTGGGGATTAAATCATGCGAATCTTTGCTATGCACGATGGTAAAATCTTCCTACACATTTTTTTTTGATAAACATAGGAAGAAACTGTGTCCTTTCTCGGCTGAATTTATCAAAGAGCTGATCAAAGCAGGCAACAAAA